ATCACGTTGGTAGCCGATTTCTTCGGCTATTGACAGGTTGCTGATCTGTGGACACAATCGACGCGGAACAGAGAGAAGCAAGCTCAGGATATTTGAAATTGATTTATTAATTATATAATATGATCAAACTCCAGGTAAAAAGCATTTATTCTTTTCATCCAAAATTTTTCTCCCCAATTATTACATTGGGGTGTAAATTGGGATACAAAACAAAACCATAAGGCACAACGTACGGCACAAGCTATCAGCGGTCTTCTCTTTTGTGCGGACCTTTGTGAGAACAGTATAATATCGAACTGAATCATCGTGATCTAAATTTAAGCGATTATTTCTTCACTTCACCACGAATCACGATGGATGCCGCCTACATTTCGAAGGCAATACCTCGCTATTTGTTGAGGTTATCATGGGTTTCACCAATCTGGTTATTAGAAAAAATTCTGAAGTGGGCCATGAAGCCGGGCTGCAAAGCGGGTAAGCTGTATTTATGACGAAATCTGCCCCAGTGGTTGGATTTTGGTCAGTGTAGGCGAAAAAATCGCGAATGCTCGTACATGCGCTGATTTAAACGGTCATAACTTGTGAAAAATCGAAAACGTAGAGGGGTTTTTGCATATTTTTGCCTATTAAGGTCTTAAATCAACGGCTGTGTAGGATAGAGTCGTCAACCAGGTCCCAAATCCCAAAACTTAACGTCTAAATCAAGGTTATTTACGGCCATCGGCCTATGGCGATTTTTAGTGGTCAGAATATGCTAAAATTTGCCTTTTCAGAATAGTTAGAGGGCAAATTCTAACTTTCTTGGCAAACTAGAAAGGTTTCTAAGCAATCTGATATAAATTTTGTGGCTTAACTATGCGAATCAAATATTTTACAATGTTCAGAATATGCCTATTTTTCAATTTCCGAGACGTTGCGACGGTCCCTACGGACTGGGAAATAATTATGGCCCCTAGTGCGGTCAAAAAATTATTTGAATCAAACCAAATCTAATTCAGTTCTTTCCTAGGGAAAGTCTTTCTGTTGACAGAGTTTCAGGCAAAATTATTTTTGACGCGAAATTGACCGGGTGGAAATAAGAGAGACAGCCTCTTAAATAAGGAGCTCAATAAATTGAGAGTGAAACGAGACTTATCTGCAAGTTGAAGTTTGATGGGAATTCAGTTGAGTCATCATGAGTTGCTAGGGATCACATGAGATTGTGAAATCAACTTTGAAAGGCGAAAAATATTATAAATTGGGTGGGTTTATTTCATACGCAAGTAAGGGTGGGCATGTGATCCCTAATACCTCAGGATGACTCATAAGAATTACCATCAGGCTTTAACTTCCGCCAAATTCTCATGTTCTTGAATTGGTTTTTAGTAAGACTTTGCAAAGGTGCAGTGTCCTGACCAACCAGCAGTTATGAGAATGGTATCAAGAAGTACCTTAGCCAGTGCAGCTACATTAGTTGGTGATGCCCTAACACTATGAGTTTTAAAACGACTAATGTCAATACCAAAAGTGCTCTTAATCTAACGAGATATAGCACTCTTAGTAGCTGCTTTGTATGGTTTAACATATGTAACAAATAGACTTGAAATACCCTTACCAAAGTGTTTGGTACGTCCTAAATATTCCTTTATACTAACAACAACACAGAGATTAGCGTCTGAAGGATAACCTGGGAACTCCAGCTCGAGTCCAGGTTTGGTTTGCTTAAGTTTGTCTCCAATTGAGTACGTCCAACAACAAGTTTTAAACGTCCAAGAATTGGAGAGTTGGCACCTCTCTGTGCTGATAACATTGCAGCAATTTTTTATGTTAACAATTTCAATGTTAATTCCTTAACTGGAGTCAAAGTACGTCTTCAAATTGTTTAACAACCTAGAGGGGTCCCTGGTGATAGTGTATCTTGCAATTGGTAAAGCAGGTTTTGCTGAAAAACCCCTTTAAGAAAGTGCTTCATAATTGTAGTTCTCCAAATGAAACTCCTAAAGAGATGTGTAATACCTGAGATAAGGAAGATCTAATTGTGTTCATAGCACTGTAGCCCAGGCCTGGTTCAAAAAGATCCATCATAAAATCTAAAGCTTGTGTTGGAGTGGCCTTGAACTTCTTGAGGTAAATGGAATACTCCTTCTGTGTACTCCCTTTCTAAGAGTGCAAGATGGTTTTGGCAGCTTTTTCCAAAATGCCTCTTGCTGTGTGAGAGTTCCTGATGACTTGCATACGAGAAGAGTTAGTGTCTTTTGAAGAGGATGTGCTTTTTCCTGTCTGAATAGAAGGATCAAGGTCCATGAATGCTTGGGAAGGACAAGTGAATGATCTATTAAAAGACTTTGAAGTCTGGGAAACCAAACTTGACTTGTCCACATTGGAACAATTTGAAGTACCCTGTTGATGAGAGCAAATGGAAGAAAGGTATGAAAATGTTGATCGATCTAGTCAAGAGAGAAGGCATCAATAGTCTTCGCCTCTGGGTCTGGTTTCCAGGAAACAAAAGGTTTTAATTGATAGTTCAACCTGGAAGCAAACAGGTCTATTGAAGGCTTTCCTCAAAGGAATGTTATGAATTCAAACTATTTGGGATTAAGTTTCTACTCAATAAAAGATTTCTTTACCCTTGACTCTTTATTAGCCAGTATATTTTGTTTCCCAGGAATGTGTATTGCAGTGTTACCCGTATATTATATGTTGTGTTAACACACCATAACCATAATTCCCGGTTAATTCCATTGCATAAGACACTTTGACCACCCATGCTATTAATATAGGATATAGCAGTGGTATTGTCAATCATGGCTTTCAGATAAGAATTCTGAATATCTGAGCAGAATGCTCTCAAGGCAAGAAAACATGCTAAACTTTCAAGATAATTGATGTGATGCTTAGATTCATCTTCAGACCACTGACGCCCAGTTGATATGGAATAAAGAACTCCTCCCCGGCCCAGGGGCATTTAAATAAATTGTCACTTGAGGTGTAGCGTGGGTTACAGTGTTAATGTTTTAATCTGCCAGCAACAAATGATATGCTATATGCATTGGCGTGATTATTATCATTATCAAGACTCTCCTGCAAATTTAGGTGGTCTTGAGGTTTAGCAGCAATTATCATTGGCATTCAGATTTCCCCTTCCTTTTGGGGTCTAGAGAAGATCCCTTCCCCACTCCCTGAGTTTTCCATGAAAAAGGCTTCTGATTTTGGTGGTGCTGGTGATAAGAGAAATTTGATCTCCTTTGCTGCTTGTGGTAATGTCCTGACTGCTTGAATGAAACTTTGACACCCACTTTGTTTGTCTCAGAAATTTCCTTCACTGACTTTGGTAAATCATCTCCAAATAGCATTATAGTCACAGGGGTTTGAGCACTGCCAAATCGCGTGAACTGATTATTTAAGTCATTATGACAGTAAAACTGGAGATATAAAAATGTAATACTTTGATAATGAGTGAAAATATGGTTGCCTTTAATTAGTTTTCATTCTTTTAAAATTCTGGCTTTCACGTTTGCACTTGCCAAGCTAAAAGTAGAGACAGAGCGAGATTTGCATCGAATAAAGAATGAAATCCCTCAACGAAACCTATGATACAAAACACCAATAAACATTAAGTAGTTATAAGCTTTCGCGCGAAAAGTGCTATCTTCACACGGTAAAGATGCAATATTTCATAAGAGAGGGCGAGTGTTTCATCAGGGTTACCAAACATGAGAAAGCTGATGAAAGCACGAGACCGAAGGCCGCGTGTTTTTGTTGTTTTCAAGTGTTTGAAAATCCTGATGAAACATGAAGCTCGAGTTTATGAAATGGCTCCTCAAAAGGGCCTACTTTATTAACAATAAACACAAAAACAGAACGTCCACGTAAATATTCAGTATTTGTGTTGTTTTGTTTTATTGTCGCTTGTGCGTGGTTGTTAGTCAGTGTCATGAAAGATGTTGTGTTTTTTCACAAATTCGGCTTTTAATTGAGAGCAGTCACCCTTTGCATCGGCGTCCCATTTGCAATTTTGAGTGTTAAAGTGTCTAAACCACTTGAACCTTGCACATCTAGTAGCGTAACGGAAACCACGAGTACTAGCAGTGAATTTTTGGAAGGTGAAAGCAGTGTACGTGGAATGTTAAATCAGTTCAATTCTGGAATGTTCTTGAATTACAATGTAAACGCAAATGTTAACTACAAAGAATGATTATCATAATCCTGGAAGTTCATAAACATTTGTTCAAGTACTGCATTATTTTGGGAATTGATTTCCAAACACACGTGTTTGGATATCCTAACACGTGTGTTTTGATATCTAATCACGCGTGTCTGGATCTGTTCTTTACCGGGTATCAAGGGCATCCGTGTGACCCAAATGAGGCCACACAATTAGTTAATTACCTCATGCATTATTAATGACTTTGAGAAAACATGTTCACTTACTCGTGGAATATTTTTAAGACTGGAAGACAAATTTCTTATCTCTGCGCAGCCATGTAATATCCTCTATTTTATACTCGAGGTTTTTGTCTTGTTCAAAATTTTAAAATCTTATTGGCCAAAGCGAGGAATTTGTGAATTAATTTTACTAGGGTGATACGAATCTTGGCTCAACAATGGAGGTCATTTTGTTCAATAAGCCCAACAAGGGAAGAGTTTATTTATGCAGAGCTGCATGAATCAATTAAGTGTTTACGAATAGGAAGTTTTAGGTGTCTTGAACTCATATTATCTTTTCTTGGGAAAGTGTCTGGAGGTCGAAAAGTGAAGTGTTTTCTGGGATAGCTGAGCTTAAAATTTCTTTTTGGCACCAATCCTCATATCATCCAGATCAGAATGATTTATAAAGTTGAAATCAAAATTATGTAATCACCATAGGTAAGTTTAGGAAAAATTTGGGCCTTGACAACTGTAAAGCGAACTTTACGCACTTTCTGCAAGCAACGAATAATAACAGCAGGGATTTGGTTCGTTTTCTTTCATAACTCCTCATAATCAGTCGAAAGTTTAAAAAGATGTAAGAGTGAGGTACATTTGAGGTTGAAAACGCTCTTCTTTATTCATCTCATGTTGTTGTACAAACAATGTCGAGACTCACAATGATAGTGACTCCCCAGTAATCCTCAAACCTCGAGGATTCTTGCTACGGCATGTTCTTCCAGTTGAAACTTCAAACCTTCCTTATCAAGGTTGGTTTTCACAAGGCGGAGATCCACAAAATGGCTCGGTGGCATCTCCTGTATCACCTTCTTGGCCCTGGAGTAAAAAAAAAAGTCAAGAATGACCCATGATTTCTCGCTGAAATAGGAATTACAGATTTTGAGTCATCTACTTCGACGCCCTGGTAACCACAAAGATGAAGACAGTTTCCGA